TCACATGCTCACACATGTGCACACATTCTTCACTCTCAGACTCACACATACATGCTCACAGGTTCACACACATTCACACACTACTATCACACGCACGTGCACACACATTCCCCCTCTCAAACACAGACTCGTACATATAATCACACACTCACCCTGAGTCCAATGGAGAAACACACAAAACCAAACACTGACGCGGGGAGGGGGAGGGAAAGGGGAGCCAGCCAAATAGACTTGGGTTTGGGGGGGGAAGCAAGCAGAGAAACAGAGCCAGGCCCAACTTCTCCCCCCGCTCTTGGGCTCTGCTGCTCCCCCCCCCCCTCCCAGGCAGGCCCCTTTCTCCCTTTTCAGTCCCCCTAGGCCTCCTCTTCCAGCACTAGAATGTAAGCTCCCTGAGGGCAGGACCGCCTTTCCTCTTGTATATATGTATGTAAGCGGGCACTAACTGGACACTCAACAGCCTCATCCTGACCCCCAAGGGCGTCCCCACACACATTGGTCCACTAGGGGCCCCAGCTCTGCTCTTGACTCTGGGCTTTCCAGTCTTTCCCCATCAGAATGGAGGCTCCCGGAGGGCAGGGACCTGGATCTTTTTGCTGGGCCGTCTTCCCCAGCTCGGTGCCTGGCCCGTGCTAAGTGCCGAATAAGGGCCTGCTGACTCAACTGTCCCACAAAACCACACTGATGAGGTCATAATGTGTAAGGAGGCAGCTGGGTGGCTCAGTGTGTGGAGGGAGCACCAGACTCAGAAGCTCAAATCCAGGCTCAGGTGTCTCCTAGCTGGCTGACCCTGGCCAAGTCACTTCGCCTCTGTTTACCTCAGTTTCCTCACCTACAGAATGGGGCTAATCACAGCACCTTCGGCCCAGGGCGGCTGTGAGGATCCCAGGAGACAATCACCCTAAAGCGCTCTGCACAGCGCCGGGCACACAGACGCGCTGATTCCCTCCCGGGCTTGTGGGATCCCAACTCTGCTTCGTCCTCAATTCCAGGGGGCCAGTTTGGCCGCGCCCACATTTCTCCTCCTTCACCCCCCATTCCTCTTCCCACTGGAGGGAGCCAGGGCAGGTGACACTCACCTGCATACAGTGGGCACTTAACATAGCTGACATACAGCAACGTCACACACGTGCACGCGTGTACGCACGCACAGACCCACGCCTATGATGACCCAAGAGGTCATCAACCGGGGAGGGCAAAGGTCAAAGTCCACACCCAACACGAGGAGAGGACTAACTCCCACCCTGAGGCAAGCCCCTTCTCTGCCCCCTGCCTCAGTTTCCCCATCTGTAAAATGGGGCGCAGGGTATATGTGCTCGCTGATGAGGTTGGTCACGCCAGGGGCAGCTAGGTGGCGCGGTGGACGGAGCACCGGCCCTGGAGTCAGGAGGACCTGAGTTCAAGTCTCGCCTCAGACACATAACACTCACTAGCTGCGTGACCCTGGGCAAGTCACTTAACCCCAACAGCCCCCAAAACAAAGTCATGCCCACCGAGGGGGAAGCTCCTCCCTCCCCACCCTCCCCTCTGGATCTGGCTTTCCTCTACCCCCCCACCCCCCCAAAGGAGCCCCGCCCTGGGGATCCCGGAAGGGAAGCTGCCTGAGGGCGGGCCCTGGGTGCCCAGGGCCAGAAGAAGAGCTTGTGGAGGGAGGACCCCGGCCTCTCCCGCCACCAGCGGGCAGGGGCACAGATGAGGGGCGGAAGTCCCGGGGGAGGCGAGTCCTGGGCAGCCCGGGGCGATCAATGACCCCCCCCTCCACTAACGGGCTCCCCGCCCTGCCGGGAAGGTTGGCCCGCCCCGTCCAGGAGCAGGCCCTGCCCCCAAGGCCTTTACGTTCTAACGGGACTGCGGCATCCTCTGGGCTCCCCCAATGAAGGGTTGGCCCGCCCTAGCCAGGCGCTCTGCGGGGAACGCTCCCTCCCTTCTAACAGCGGCCCCAGCCACAGGGGACGCCGGGGAACACTCTCGTGGCCTCCGTCCCTCTTCACTGATGGGGAGACTGAGGCACCCACGGCCAGCTCCCACTCTCGGGGTCTCTCACTCGCCCTCGCGCCCCGACCGCCCCCGCACCTCAGTACCTGACCCGGTCGCGGCCCCGCCTCCTTCCCCTCAGGGCTACTTCCGGGGCGCGACCCTGTCCTGCACCCTCCCTCCCTGGTCGTCAGGGCACTTCCGGGACGCCGGTCGTCACCAGGAAACCAACAGCGACTTCCGGTAGGCTGCGCGGAAGCCGGGACCAACTTCCGGGCAGGCGCGGGCCGGGTTGGCGCCGCAGCCGGAAGTCCCGCCCCGGCCCGGGTCTCTTTCCCGCCATGGCGGAGGTGCTGGAGCTGCCGCGGACGCGGATCGCAGCCGCGCATGTGGCGCACTTCATCGACCGGCCCGTGTGCTTCGTGGGGCGGCTGGAGAAGGTGCGGGGGGCCGGGGGGAGCAGGGAAGGGGGGGCAGGGACCCCCCCACCCCTAAGGCCCGGAGGACTCCGGCTCGAGCTCTTCCCCTCCCCCCCGGAGCCCCGCCCCTTGCCCTGCGGCCCCTCCGCCGCCCTAGCTGGGTGCTGCAGGCACGGCCCCGCGCTACCCGCGCTACCCGCGCTACCCGGGCTCCCGGCTCGGCAGCTCGCCCTTGCCGGGCCGTAGCAGGGGCCAGATCGGAGAAGGGGAGCCAGCCCTGCCCCGAGAGCTTAGCTTCTGCCGGGAAAGGGCTTCCCTGCTCCGTCCGAGGAGGAGGAGGCCGAGGCGGGGCGGGGGGGTCGCACCCCCGAGCGACGTCACCGTCAGGACCCCACGACGAGAGAGTGGGGACGGGCCCCCCGAGGCAGGGAGAGCCGAGCTGGGCCTCGGCGTTTGGAGGCGGTGGGAGCAGCCGGCCCTTATCGGGGACCCCGCAGAACGTCACCGTCCATTTGAGGGCGAGCGCGTGCCCGAGGCTGGACTCCAGCAGGGCAGCGCCCGGACGGTCAGAGTGGACCCCGGCGTACAGCGCGGAGGAGTGGGGGGCAGCAGTGACACGTCCGGGGCATGATGGGAGCGGGGCGTCGCGGGTCTCCTGGATACCTAGATAGACTCCATCAGCATTGATTAGGCACCGGCTGGATAGGGCCAAGGGAGGTGGGCGAGGCCGGGAAGCGCCGCGTGGGGGGCCCCCCTCCCACGTCTGGGCGGGGGTCCCGGGCCGGTCTGGACACGGCCCCTGCTTCTTCCTCAGATCCACCCCAGCGGGAGGTCTCTGGTCCTGTCCGATGGAGAAGGCAAGCAGGTGACGGTGGAGCTGGCGGAGCCCGTGAGTGCGAGGCGGCGGGGGGTGCTGGGGCACAGCTGGCAGACGGGCCCGTGGTGAAGTGCAGACCCTGGACAGGGCCCCGCAGCCTCACTCTGCTTAGCTCAGGGCCTGGCACACAGTAGGCGCTTCATCACGTTTTCCGTCCCCCGAGACACCGCTGCTTACAGGGGCGGTGGCTTCTGAGGGTCCGTGCAGGGGCCTTCGTCTTGGGCTCCTGGGTCAGTCAGCGGGCGGGCCAGGGGGACCCCGGGGGGCCGCAGGGTCGAGCAGAGTCTCGCTTGCCTTGTCAGCTTGAAGAGGAGATTTCTGGGATACTGGAAGTCGTGGGCAAAGTGACGGCCAAGGCCACCATCTCGTGTGCCTCCTACGTGCTGTTCAGAGACCACAACAACAGCTTTGGTGAGTCCGGGCCCCCAGCAGAAGCGTTCCGTAACCCACTCGCCTTCCCTCAGCCGCCAAGGCCACCTTGTCACACCCACCCACCCTCAAGAAACCTCGGTGGCTCCATTCTCCCTCCCCCCGACTACCCGAGCTCACTCTGGGAGGGCTTTACCTTGACAGCGCAGGGGCCTTGGGGACCTCGTCCCAGAAATCTGGACTCTCCCCTTCCCGCTCCCCACTCCACCACACACGGGCCTCCCCTCCAAGTCCGTCTGCAGGAGCACACGTGTCCTTGCTCAGCCTCTGCTGCCAGTGTGGCACCCGGGCCGGGCCTTTCCGGCGCCGAGGGATCCGCCCATCCCATTGGGGCTACCAGAAGGGATGCTCTGTGTGTCTGTGTTCAGGTCTGGCAGTGACCCAGCGGGCTTCCAGGGCACCGCTCCACAGTTGCTTTGGTGGCCGATTCCACATGGCGTCAGGTGCCACGCCCCTTTTTTGGGCCATCAGGGCCAGAGTGATGGTGATGAGAAGTGGGGCTGCTTTGGAGCATTTTTTCCTGTGGCTGTAGAGAGCCCGGGCTTCTCTTGGGACTGGCTGAATGGTTTTGTTCTTATGAAGTGTAAACAGTACCTCACATCTCTTCGAGATGTGTCTTAGACAGATTGGGTACAAAGATTTCTTCTCCAGTTAATGATTTCCCTTTTCATCTTAGATTTTTTTTTCCACTTTTCTTCTGCCCAGTGGTCTGATCAGTCATTTCTACCACGCTTTTCTGATTTATTTGCAGTGTGACCTTTTGTGGGTAGGTCACGGGTCCATTTGGCACTCACCTTGGCATAAGGTGCAAGGTGATGGTGGCTCAGGGAGGCAGACCTGACGCTAAAAGTCCCAGGAGACTAAATGACATAGTCCTAAAGAGTGGGTGGGTAGAAGTGACCAGTGACCTCATCAGTGATGTCACTGTAACAAGACGATGGACAGAAACCTCTCTCTTAGATCTCAGGCTCTACAATGATGCTCTCAAAATCATCCACGAGTTCCCGCAGTATTACCCATTTGGGGCCATGCCGCAGGACTGACGTCTCTGACTGGCCTTCCCACCAACGGTCTGACCAGTGCGCTTCTCCTGGCCTGCAGCTCCCAAAACGCTGAGACCCTGGGCGGCCTCCCAGCGGCAGCCTCGAGTGACTGTCTGTCAGTCTGTCTAATGAAGTGAGCTTTGGATCCTTTCACCTGGGCAAACAATTCTGCATTATTAATAAAGAACAATTATGTGCTCTGGAGTGATGAACGGAGTTGTTTTGTGGAATCGCTCCCTCGGCCGACTCAGAGGGGGCCTGCAGCCTCCCTGTGTGGCTCCCGAGCCACATGTGTCCTTCGTCGGCCACATCAGGCCTGTGGCCAGGCTTGGTTTTTATCTTTGCCGGTCTTTCTTTAAGCCTCCACATCCCCTTGCCAAGATCAGCAACACCCCGTCCTCACCTCTGGGCCCTCACAAAATGAGCAGTGATACTTAACAAGGAGCCTGCCCATCGTGTTCATGCTGCATCCAGCAGTCTGAATCACAAGTGGGATGGCCAGAGGTCTAAGACCAGAAAGGAAGCATTCTCTTAAACATTGCAGTCCTTTTTTCCTCACGTGCTTCACAGACACTAATAAAGCACATTGTTTGTAAGGGAAGATAATTGTCCCTCAGATAGGGGAATCTGGGAGGGCTGGGGATGTCCTGAGGCAGACAGTGCTGGCCTTTGGTGACAGATAGCTGCTTGTCACTGTGGCCCTGCGCCCTTTGTGGGACGTGGGCAGGGGTCCTCTTCCCAGCCAGGGCAGAGGAGGCTTTAGAGCCCCAAGGCGTCCTCCACTTGGGGGCCATGAATTTCTTCTTTGGTATATTTGGTTTCCATTACAATCCTAGGCATTTTAGTAATGCATTTTTGGGGGCAGACTGGTTTGCTGGAAATGTGGCGGCTGCTCTTGCGCCCCATTCCATCACGGGTCATCGCAGAACCTTTGACCTGGGCCAGTTCAGCCTGGTGGCCTCCAGCAAGCAGGGGCAGCCTCTATCAAAGGACCCTGCTCTAAGATCCGCCTGTGCGGCCTCCTCTCTGGGCCTGCTTCATCATCTTCCAAGGCGTTCCATCACCTTCAGGCCCACAGAAGTGAGTGCAAGAGATTGGACATCCAAGCAGGCCACCTGAACGTTAAGCATATTGTTCTAAAACACCGGGTCTGGGGAGAAAATCGGCTTCCTGGGTTTGATGGGTCAGAGATTTGAAGTGTGACATTGGTCCCAGACACGTGAAGAGCACCAGGCCAGCACGGCAGAGGCCGGGGCAGCCTCTAGCCGTCCTGTGCCCAGCTGGTCAGTGGCGAGGCCTGCCCCCCACTGCTCCCTGACCTGGGTCTCCCACAATGGCCTCTGTGCTGATGCTGAGACGGAGGCTGAGGGCTGGTTACCTCGTGTCTGCTGAATGTTAATGGGCTGAGTCAGGTGTGTCCTCACCTCACAGGGCCCCTCCCTGTCCTCCTAGAAACAGCCTCTCCTGATCTCCTCAATTCCCTGTGCCCCCCACCCCAGCTACCCTGTTTTTAATGACTTTGTATTCACTTTTTATATTAATACAAGTAACAGCTCACATTTGTACGGCACCTACTATGTGCCAGGCACCATGCTAAGTGCTTTACAGGCATCAACCCATTTGGTCCTCACCACATCCTGGGGTGGAGGTGGTTTTGTTATTTTATATTTTTATTTTTAATATATTGTTATTTTATATTTATTATATTATATGTAATAATATGTATTATATAATAATGTATTATATATAACAATATAGATAACATGTTATTTATAAATCATTTTATATTTATTATATTGTGTATTATATAATAATATATAACAACATAAATAACATTGTTTTTATATATTTTTATATTTATTATATATAACAATACAGATGACATGTTATTTTATATATTGTCATTTTATATTTATTATATGTTATATAATATATATAACATGAATAACATTGTTTTTTATATAGTTATTTTATATTTATTATATTATTATATATTATATAATATATAACAATATAAATAACATGCTATTTTTATATATTGTTATATTTATTATATTATATAATATATAAAAATATATATAATATATATCATTTAATATGTATTATATAATATATATCATTTAATAATATATAACAATATAAATAACATTATTATGTTATTTTTATATATTGTTATTTTATATTTTGTTATTTTTATTCCCTATTTTATAGATGAGCAAACTGAGGCACGCAGAGCTGACGACTTGCCCCCAGTCGGCCAGCCGCCACGCATCTGGCGCAGGATTGGAACGGGGCCTTCCCGCGTCCAGTGCTCTTATTCGCTGTGCTGCCTGTGTACATTTAGATAGGCCCTCGTCGGCCCCCCCTCGTAAGGAGGAATTACGTTGTCCTCTGTCCTTCTTCCCCCAGACCCTAGCGCAGCGCTGGGCACACAGAACGTGCTCCTTCAGCTTCATTGTACATGAAGAGGTGAACTGAAGCAGGTCGTGCACTTCCAAATCCATGCCAAGTTCTTGGCCACGTCTCGGTCTTGTTGATTTGAAATGGGAATTTCATGTGGAGATGACTCGGTTCCCTGTTTTGTGGTCTGGGGTCACAGCTGGCAGTGGGATTTCGAGCAGAGCTGTGCTGTTAGATACGAGAGCTGCGTTTCCTTTCCTAATGCTCCCGGACTTATCGGGCTCACAACAAAAATCTTAGTGTTTCCAATGCTAATCAGCAATTTTAAGGTTGAGAATTCCAGGACTGGACTGTGTTTTGCTGGAGGGAAGAAGGTCTGTTTCTCTGCCCCTCTCCTTGTGCACCCACTCCCCCTTGGCCAGCTTGGGCATGAGCGCACACTTTGCTTGCCCTCCCTCTCTCAAGGTTAGCATCGTTCTAGATGGTGCAAACACATGGAGGGGGTGGGGGGGCCTAGATGACGCCAGGTTCAGACACTGGGTCTTGGCACAGGCTTACCCAATTCCCAAACCAAACTCGCCTCATCACCTCTACTGGGCACATCCAGACCTCCTCTCCCACCCACCTGCAGCCTGGCCAGGAAGTGAAAGTAGCCATGTTTACTTGGCCCACACTCAGGTGAGGAAGGATTAGCACAACCTTCTTAAACTTCATGTAGCCTCAAGGCAAAAATGGATTATTGTCTCACTGCTAATACAACTAAGCATTTAATCCTATAAATTACAAGCAGCACATTGTTTATATGAGCTGGGTGGTACAGTGCACAGAGTACCAGGCCTGGAGTCAGGAAGACTCATCTGCTTGAGTTCAAATTTGGATTCACACACTAGTTGTGTAACCCTGGACAAGTCACTTCACCCTATTTGCCTCAGTTTCCTCATCTGTAAAATGAGCAGGAGGAAATGGCAAACCGCTCCAGTACCTTTGCCAAGAAAACCTCAAATGGGGTCATGAAGAGTCAGACAGAACTGAAAAGCCGTGAGCCAAAAAGATTTACCTTACGTCTCTTATTACAGAATCCCTCCCCACCCAGATGGGTTAAGGCTACACCAGGAAACTCAACCAGCAAAGGAGGTGTCAGGTCCGAGATGTCCCTGGCCAGCTTCTCCAGGACCCTTTCCAACGTGGCCCTAGTGACTGGGGGCATCCCACATCTACCCCAGGGGGTCACTACTCTTGCTGGCACTATGGGAGCTGGCCATCTTGGCCACCCTTGCCCCGGCTCCCGCAGGCAGGCGGCCCCCACCCACCACATACCTCTCTGGTGTTTCTTGGGCCAATTTACCTTCTCTGCCCCCTGTGCAAGTCCATTTGTTCCCAAGTGGGGTTTTAGGGTCTCTGGGTCTCCTGAGTGACACAGCCAATTCAGATCAGTTAAACTCTACTCGAGGGCATTAGAAATCACAGGCGTCCTTTTTCCTCCCCACTTCCCAGCATACTTGTCTCGAGGTCAGGCTGGAATGGTTGAAGCTGCAAGCCCTTTCCTAGTTTTTATTCTTTCCAGCTCTGTCTTCTTTATCCCCGGAGTGGGTGGCATGAGGGTACCCCGCTGATTTGAGAATGCCTTCCTCGGTAACGAGCCATTTTCTACCTTTCTGTTAGAACCCGTTTCCCCTTTTCCGAGGCTCTCTGGCACCGTGTCCAGGCCCTCGGCCTCCTCTTCAGGGAAGCATTCAGGAGCCTAGCAGGGGCTCCTGCTCCCACCCGTCAGTCCTGGGCCAGACCTTCCATTTCCCCCTCCTCACAAAGTACGTGCTGACTTAGTTCAGAGCAGCTTACTGCGTCCCCTCTGGAATTCCTCTACAACAAACACCGGGGCGTCAGCTGCAACTCCTTTTGCAGCCGGGTTTTTGCCCGTGTTCACCATGAGGTCTGCACCCAAGGTGCCCTAAAATGGTCCTTCTGAAGCAGTTGGAGAAAAGGGGCTTCCCTCCTGACATGAAACCAGTGCGACTTCCTCTGATGTGGAGACTGAATAAAACAACATCACCTTTATTAGCAAAACCACTTTTGTACAAAAACCATAAATATCCACCACCTAAAGTCCTAATGTTGTCTCAGTGGGCAGGAGCATCAGCCCGACGCCCAGACCCTCACCACCCCGGCACGTCTCCAAGCACCTTCGGCTCGCTGCTGGGTTTCTGAAGCCACCCAACCTGCAACGGTCAGTCTGACATTCTCTGCTTCGTCACACTTGATGTCTGGCGGGGACGGGCCGGCTCTAAGAAGCATTCAGTAAAGCCTTGTTCGGCCAATTCCCCATGCCCATTCCCCCTCCACACACACGAATGCAGAAGAAACCAAACCACTACACTCAGTCGGAGGAAATCCCAGGCCCTGGCATGGCCCGAATAGGAAGCACATTTACGGGCGTCGACGCCCGGAGGAAAATCCTCCCCCAGATGAGGACCGATGAAAGCAGAAGAGCCAGGCTTCTCCTCTGTGGCGTCAGAAGCTGCCTCTGCAGCGGGGTGTCGGCGTCTAGAGGAGACAATCCATCTGGGGGGGAAGGTCAGAAGCTGGCTCCAGGGCCGCCCTGGGCCTCCCATTATGACCACGGAGAGAGGAAAGCTGTGCAATCCAAGTCATCACGCTGGAGAGGCAACGCTCACGTCTGACGACTGGCGTGTCAGAAATGTGTTTTCTCACACGGGCAAGTTAAGTTTGGGGCTGCGTGTTCATGTGGAGTTCTCTAACCCCCTCTAATAAACGGATGGTCAACACCATATAACGTTCGTCGTCTTGCAACGAAAACGTGTAACTGAATGGTAATTGTGAACGCCAAGCCCTCGTCCACTGATTCATTCACTCCTTTTCTGCAACAGCAGGTGTGGGGCGGGGGCTGGTGACAAGGGAGAGGAAGGAACCAGACTCCCCCACAGATTTACCAGCCACTTTTGCGGAGGGATTTAGCCCCATCTTCTGGGACGTGGGCTGAATCCCACATCTGGAGAGTCCACATGTTAATGAAGTACTTCCTGCTTTCCCAGCCGAGTTTAAAGTCCTCTATGTCACGTGACCAGGAGGCATTCTGGATTTCTACAAGAATTTCTGAAACAAACTGCTCTGGCCAGTCGACAGCTGCCTCTGAGGACAGAGGCTGGTCGCCCACCGCAGCAGGGTCTGCGAAGCAGCCCGACCCCCTGGGGACGTCCAAGGCTGATGAGTCGGGGGCATAGGTTTGTGGGGGGGTCCCTGCCAGAAAGCCGCCCCCTTGAAGGGTTCCAGGCTAGGGCTGCAGAGTCTCTGCTGGGACAAGATTCCCTGTCGTATCCAACTGCATGCACTTACAGGAACACGCGGACACAGGACACTCAGCGTGGTCCCTAGACAGAGAGAAAGGCAGAGTTGGAAACCAGCTTCACGAGAGACGGCTCACCCGCACATCTGCTCTGTCCCCCAACTCTATTAAAAGTCTCTGGAATAAGTGAGAAAACAGAAACGCAAAGCAAGACTCCCCAGAACGTCAAGGACTTCAAGCTGAAGTGGGGGATTACTGAGAGAAGGCAAGGAGACTGCTCTTCCTTCCAAAGAGCTCAAACTAGGTTTTTCCTGAAAGGTTTTTGGCCAGTGGGCCTCACCCAGAGTAGAAAAATGCCTTCGCGTCTTCAGTTCAAGTGCCAGCCAGGGATCTGGCAGATCTAACAACGTGTATCCATGTGAGATGCCTGTACAGCAGGGGGTTATGGGCAAAGGCAAAAGCTGCTGACCAACTTTCCAGAGTTATTCCGAATCTGGGCCCTGCAGGTGATCCTGATGTGTAACCGTGGCTGGGCACTGCCTAACATCCAGCTGACTTGGAAAGTCAACTTCAGAGTGTCTTGAGAAAAACTAGCCAGGAGCGAGGAATGCTGGTGCTCGTTTAGTGGCAAAAGCAGCTTGTACTCATTTATTTTTTTTGGAGCTGCCGGACCTCAAAGCTCCTTTAAAAGTTAAATTTACCGACGGGTAAAGAAATGTTGGCAGGGAACACCAAAGCAGCCGTTTTTGGACTGGTCCTTACTGGCGGGGCTTTGGGCTGTTCTACCTGATTTCTCTAGCATTTGAAGGGGTGCGTATCTCGGAAACACGGACACAGCAGTACTGCTCCAAGTAGGAAGGATATAAAAGACAAAGAACATTTGAATGGTGATGCAGAAGACTTGGCAAACTAGCTAGCTCCTGGCCCTCTAGAAGACGTCCACAGCCTAACTACAGCCACCCAAGCCAGTGACTGCGCTGATGCCCATGACTGTGTAATACTGTGAAACCTGCTTCTGGTCTGAACCCTTGAAACTGGGAAAAAAAAAAAAAAAGAGTCATTCCAAGCTGTGCAACAGGCCAAGTGATTCTTCACAAGTTAATAATCCGTGGGGAAAACGGCTCCCCCCCAAGGCACTGGGTCAAGAACTAAACCCTTCAGAAATCCAGCCATTTCTCTGGTAACTGACTCAGCTCTGGGTTATCTGCCCAGCGGCGTCCAGGTCAAATAGAAACCGCGGCACTGACCGGCACCGGAGGATCACCGACTTAGTTTGAAATGCGTTTTCATTCGCACTTATGTTCCCCATGACGCGGAATCTGGTCACGCTCCTGGAAGACCAGACACCCGGAGCCAGGGCCTGCGGGTTACCTGAACCAGCTGAGCATGTGGCCGGCATGGCCGCCGTGACGACAGTTGTGGCACCACGTGAACCAGTTATTGAACTGGGCCAGCTTCTTGTCCTTGCTCAGGTCTACTTTCTCATCTGACTTGGATCCTCCTACGAAAAGGAAGGCCTTCCGTTAGTGGAGCAGGACGCTTCACTCCAAGGCTCTAAAAACCACTCCAAAGTGTCAGAGTCGCACAACACCTGTAAACTCATTACCCACAGGGCCCAGGCTGGCTGATGGGGGACAGCGCCACCCTGTGCTTTCCACAAGTTTCACAAGCTGACAGTCAGTCAGTCAGCAAGCTTTTTTAAAGCACCTCCTAGGTGCCAGGCACTGTGCTAGGCGCTGAGGACGCCGGCACGTTTTACCACCACTGAATGTCCCCTGACCTCAGGATGGTTTAAATCCCCATCACCAACCCCTGTGAGCAGAGGGCGGGCCTCAGAGGAGAGACAGACAACAGAAGTCTCAGTTACAGGCCACCTAGAGAGCGGACACGCTGCCGGCCCAGGGCCCGTGGCCAGAACCACCCAAGAGCCTGGACAGGAGGTGCTGTCCTTAGCTCGGCTGTCCAGACCCTGCCCGCCTGCTCCACTGCTGCCCTCGAGGCCTCTGGGACACCCCCAGCGCTTTGCACACAGCAGGCACTTAATACATGCTTTGTTCATTCATGGGGACGTCGTTCTGAATATTCCCAATCTGATCTCCATAGAGCGCCACGTGGCAAACGAAGCGCCTGAAAATGCCTGTAACCCAGTAACGACAACGTGTGATGAAGAACTGGGAATGACGCAGCCCTTACCAGCGGTGCCACCTGCCTGAATACAGACTGCAGCAGGCTGGTTTTCACTTTCTTTCTGTCATTGCTTTCTTTTATCCAGGTCTTCTTGTACCAAATGACTAAGATGACTGCACCTGGATAGCCTATATCTGATTGCTTACTGTCTCAGGGAAGAGGGAGGGAGAGGGAGAATTTGGAACTCAAAACTTTAAATAAAAATGTTTAAAATAAATAAATGAATGAAAATAAAATGAAATGAGATGAAAAGAAAGAAAAGAAAAAGTAATCACCGTAACTGCCCAGGACCTCCCGGCGTCCAGACCTACCTGGGCAGCTAGAAACGGGCGTGCCCATGTTGATGAGGCAGAGCGCACATCGGGGGAGGGGCTTCCGACAGCCGGGGCAACTGGTGACTTTGGATTTGGTCGGGGAGCCGCTCACGCCGTACTGGCTGAAGCCCCGGCCCTGGTGGGGCACAGCTGAGCAGCTGTAGGAGATGGATTTTCCGCAGAAGTTGCAGCTCACAAACACCTGTGAAACAAACGGCTCCCGTCAGGCTCGTGGTTTTCGTCGCCACGCACCGTCTTGAGATCCTGCACCCATCACCTGCTGCTCCAGCCAAGACCAGAGAGGGAAGCCCAGAGAAGAGGCGGCTGACACTTCCTACAGTTTAAAGTCAAAGGGCCCTGGGTGTGTGTGCCAAGCAGGCCGTCTGCTGGTGACTCGAAACGCCCGCTACAGAAAACACTCGATCGGGAGAGCTGCTGATTGAGCGAGAAAAGGTTGGCCTTCTGGCGCATCAGGGACTGTGCTCAGTCCGGGCAGACACCAGCGAGGGCTGCTGGCGGGAGACGGGCCACAGATTGCCCTGCTTCCTCAGACATGAGGGCCTGGAACGCTCCTGGGGTCATGAGGAAGAAATGCCCTTTGTTTAGCACCTGGACTGAGAAACCAAGCAGAAATGTCAGCAGGGCCAAGAAGAAAGGAGGTGATATTTTCCAGATCTGGGAGAGGGGACGGGAGTAGAGGAAGAGCGCTCCTATCAAGATGTAAGTATTGGCTTTAATCCAGAGCATTACAGAGTGAGCTGATCTCTTCAAATCAATGCCAAAATGCTCCAGAGTATTAATGATAAGACAGTTGCAAATAAAACAACCCTGTGGTTTGTCCCCAACCCTGCAGATTGGCAAAACTGACAAAAACAGGCAATAGTCAAAGGCACACTCATACATTATTGGTGGAGCTGTGCAGTGACAATGAGTGACCAAGATGTTCATGCCCCTGACCCAGAGCCTCCGTCACTGGGCTTCTGCCCCAAGGAAGCCGCTGATCAGAAGAGCGGCCCCACACACACCGAAATATTTACGGCAGCCCTTTTTGTGGTATCAAGGAACTGGAAATGAGGCAGGCACCCTTCAATCGGGGAATGGCCAAACAAATGGTGCTACGTGAACACGATCGAAAACTACTGTGCTGTAAGAAAGGATGCACGCGGTGAATACAGAGAAGCCTGGAAAGGCCTCTGTGACACAAGGCAGAGTCAAATCAGCAGAGCCAAGAAAAACCGGACACAGTGACGGAAAGGACCACAGTCCCCAGACCAGAAACGAACGTAACAAAACGGAGAAAGGAGGAGAGTGGGGCCCACAGGGGCAATCACACAGCACGCGATTTTTCAACGTTTCGATCAGTTGTGCTGATTTTCATTTCGTCTCTAAGAGAGACACTTCATTATGTGGGGTGGATCTCTGGGAGGGGGAGCAGGAGGGATGCTGGGAATAACGATGGCGCCCTAAGAGCCAGAAGACACCAATAAAAACCTCTAAGGAGCTCTCAGTGTGGACACTCCCTCTACCAATGAAGGTCTGCACCTGGTCTGCAGATCACAATCTCAGAGAGACACCTCAGGTCACAAAGCCAGTACGCATCGGGGCAGGATCTGAACGGAGGGCTCCTGTCTCTGAGGCTGGCTCTCCCTCCACTCTACCAAGAGGGGCCTCACGTTCTCTCAAAAAGGGAGACAAACAAATAACTACCCTCTGCTCAAAATGTGACCTTGTTTCATAAGTCTTCCTTCCTGATATTTCAATATCCTGGGCAAAATCTTCCCCTAAGGCCTAGCCGTATCTTCCCAAGTGCTTCTGGGCCACAGAAATCCCTAAATCCTGGACCTGCAGGCCCTAGCTAGGTCAAGGACAGGCAAGCTAACAAATGTGAAGGAAGCTGCAGTGGGACTCAAAGCCATGTTCTTTAACGTGTTCCACTCTGTTAGAGGACAGTCCCGGTTGATAAGACTATTGCTAGACAAGTAACAAGACCTGAAAACAGTGCCATGCAGATAAGCAATCTAGAGCCGGTCGGTAGGACTCAGGACAGGCATTAGAGGATGAAGCAGCCATTAGTACAAATGGAGCTGTTGTTGTTATAACCCTTTAACCTTATCCTTAACTTCGAGTATGAGCCCATGTTTCTTCAGTTGCAATATTCGACATACTTTCAAATGCCATTCTGTCAAAACGGCTTGTCATTTACCTGTGCTAAGGGCTTGGAACTGGGATCCAGTTTACTCCTGTGAATGTCAAATTCTGCTCGCTTGTGCCAGAAGCGCCATGCATCCAGCAAATTCCTATAGTTTTCAATCCAATACTGGACCCTCTCATCTTTAAGTACATCTAATGGAGAACCCTAACGAAGGAAAAACAAGCGTTAGTACTTGAATTTCTTTAAAATACACTGAAGCATCTCTTGGCTTCAGCTCCAATGAGAAGCTACGTTTCAGCTGGCACGACATGACAAAGAAACAAGTCAAAGTGAACGCAACGAAGCCCTAGTGAGTGTCCACCACATTCTTCCCAATGGGGGGAGGACAAGTCCCAAGGTCCAAGGCAGCAAGGGATAAAAGCTCTTTGCATCCGAGTCACCACACTGACCTGTAGCATGCAGTAGCTTGCAGTCTGGACATCTCCAGTTCTATCAACATAACTTTCCATTAAATCGACTCCATCCTTCGTTAGACCCGTCAGCAAGATTCCTTCCAGATTTCCAGCCTCTTTCATTTCATTGGTCAGTTTTTCAATGTATCTGTTCAACTAGAAAGTTCAAAAGTTATTTTTTGTTAGTTTTGGTCTAACAGTGGCAGTCCCACTGGACAGTTTCCTCTTAAAACTTCAATCTGTTCTGGACAAATGATCTGGAGAAGAGATTGAAGCCTACCCTGGCCTCATGCTATATGATCTACAACTGGGCCCACATCCACAGAGAGGGTGCTTGGAAGACCATCTGGAAACCAGCTGAGACAAGGTTTAAACACTCTTTAGAAGGCAGACCAACTTTACTCGGTTCTACAGCCGGTCAAGTTTCCGCACTCACAGTACCAAGAGTAGTCAGTCAGACCAAGCTATGGCCTAGGCACCAGTGGCATCTAGGAAACACAACTCTGGCAATAAGGTGGGGCAGCCTGTCAATTCAAGGGAAAGTAAAGTATGAAACTAGCTGGAAAAAAGGAAGACGGGTCTAAAAACAAGAGTCTAGAGAACAGAACCCAGAGCTGGACAAAGCCACACCATCCAGTCTAACACCTCCATTTTCCAGGAGGACAAACTGAGGACCACTGAAGTGAATGACTTCAAGAAGTTTCTGGAGCTCGCAAGGAGCAGAACAAAGCAGAACCCTGGCCCTCAGAATCCCAGCCCAGGGGTTCTGCTTCTACTCCACATATCATGATTATGCACAGCATGAAGGCCAGCTAGGTACAGTCTAAAACCCTAAGAAGGCCTATTTCAATCAAATGGATTCAGCAGCATCGCCCATTAAAGACGTCTTGCTCTAGTGAAGGCCACTTTGCATTTGGGGAGAATTCCTTACAAAGTGCCCTGTAACAGTGACCCTGTGCCAAAGGTCTCCACCAACACAGACAAGCCACATCCTTTAACAAGGTCTCACCTGAGCATCACTGAGGAACTTGCAGGCAAACGCCACCCTGTCTCGTACCGCCACTTTCTTCTCATACTGAGAAGAAAAAAAAAAGCGAGCTGTTACTCACAGGTGACTGACCTCTGCAAAGTCACGCCATACTGCTCGTATTTCTACTTTCCATGTACCACTTACTAAGGCAAGAGGACAAACCCTCTCCTCCCACATCCTCTAGTGGTACCAGTGGCCAGGGTCCTGGAGCCAAACACACTACACTGAATCCCACCAAATGGCATAAGGGAATCACCCTGGCAACACACGATGCTTGAGATACGGGGTGATAATCAACTGCCCAGCAGAAATACTACTTTTAGACAATATCCTAGCATCTCCACTTCAACAATAGCTTGGGAACTCCTTAAAAAAATCTATGAATTGGTTAACAGTTCTGGGGCTAAATGTTCATCAGAAACACCAAGTGCCAGATGTAAAGATAGACTTCCTTTAGACATCAGCATCCTGAGGAGAAATGTCAGAGCAGTGTCTGAGTGCTAAGGTGCTCCAGTGACTGCAGATCTCAACGATGTGAGCATTATCTATCCCCCAATGGAGACGGCAGCCCGTCCCTGCTGGCCTGGCCAGCACAATTGTCCTTCATGTCTCCCCCAACACTAGCAGAGGAGGCTTATCCAACATGCTTTAAACATTATCCAAAGTTGGGGCCAAGGTTGGGTGCGTAAAATTTAAATATTTTGGTGCCAAACACAAGGTGTATTTGTGGTTCCTACACAACATTTCAGAGGATTCCAAATGGTGACTGTTCTCTTGAATAACAGCAAGATGGACAGTTAAACTGGTACAAACGCTCTGGTGCATTTTGTGTTTAACGGGAATGGATTTAACATGAAGAGGGGGGCAGAGTGGGAGCCAATCAAAAGAGGGCAGAATTGCCCACCTACGTTGCCATTTGGGGAAATACTTTTTAGATCCTGAGATGCCTGGTTTCTTCACATGACACTTGGGGAATCTTTTATGTGTTTTCCTTGGGATGAAGGATCATTTCCCCTCCCTGTGACTGGACTAAATTCTTCATTTCCCACATTTCCACTGCTAAAAGAAATCAGGGCAACATTGCCTGTGGTGCCTTCCTCACTTTCTAGACGACAGTAAGTGATCAAGGCTCTTCAGAGTTTCGAAAGCCTTTTAAAGACATGACCTCTGAGGAGCCTTACGGTCACCTGGGAGACATGATCACCAAAGGTATTATTCATGCCCAGTCTGCAGGTGAGAAAACTATGGCTCGGAAGGAGCAAGTGCTGAGGGTAAAAAAGCACCCATGAGAGGTGAGAAGTCACCAGGCTGAGGCAGAGACAGGCAAAGGCTGCTCTGGGGCTGAGTCAAGAGGGGACCCTCTGTCCCCGAAATGGGAATGCAGGACCGTCTTCACTCTACTGTTCCGACACCTCCTGTTCTGAGAAGACCACTGCACAAATGAGACAGCAGATACTGGCTGAGAGCAGGCACCCCCTTCAGCCTGGCCCCCCTCCACATTGCAAGAAGGCAAGGAACGTCCAAAGAGGCCAAGTTGCCACAGAGGAACATTCGAAAACAAGCAGGGGCAAAAGAGGCCCAGGCCCCAGGTCTTTGCCTTTTTGTGTAGCTGCCGGGCTACACAAGCATTTAATAAAGGCCTGTTTGCCCCTTCTGGGGGGCGCTGAGTCGAGGAGAGCTGCAGGAGATTTCTAGGGGCCCTCGTGGGTGGTTGGCTTGAGCAGAGGCCCGCCAGCCTCTGGCATGGACCCAAGAAGACACGGGGCCCCCTAGCGTCCCGTGGCTACGGGAGCCGGTCTAGATTCCTGGAGGTGCACAGACTGGGTCACTGGCATGAGACAAGTCCAGCCGGACACATGAGACCCAGCACCATGTGATGGGCATCGTTTGGGGGCTGCAGGAAGCTAGCTCCGGGCTGGACACCCATCCCACCACAGGAGAGTGACAAATGAAGGGATGACCCCCAAAGGGAGCAGCACCGGGCCCTGGGATCTCCAGCAGGGAAAGGAAGGCTGAAGCAGAGCTGTAAGGAGCTTACCAAGACGCCGTCGTAACAGCCAGGCTCGCTCGTCAGGAAGGCAAACATGACACACAGGTAGGGGTCGCTGAGCTGTAACCGCAGGGTACTGCACATCTCCCTCCAGAGGGAGTTCTTCTCGTCCGTGTACCCCGACAGCGCCATGGCTACCACGTTGAGGTTCAGGTCGCCTGCGTATCAGAAAGAGCCCCAGTAGAGGAGGGCGCATGCTCAGCCCACTGGGCTTTAATGCAGACGATGCCCCAAGGGAAGCACCACCACAAAAATGCCCTGGAGAGAGGACGTGGGGGGTCCCGAGGCCAACCTCAGAACCACCCTCTGGGCGTCCTCAGTGAGGCCCTGGGGGCCCCAGTCCCACCTGCCTTGGGCTCATCAGAAGCCATCAGCATGGGGGATGCGTGTTGGCTAACAAAGGCCTCTCTAAAATTAAGCCAGCAGAGTCACCGCAGGTCTGGGATCATTCTCTCCCCTCGGGCTGCATCCTTCCCTGGGGGGGCTCCCAATCGCTCTCTCTGCCACATGAGTTAGTCTGTCCTCCCAAGTCTGAACTCCTTCCTCCCTGCGGTTCCCTGCCCTCAGACTTCCTTCTGCCCCTTCTCACTCTCGGACCCCCACAGCCCCGGGTCTCCCGCCTCCCTCCCAGCAATCTGAGGACTCCAGGACGGCCCTCGGATTACATTCAGACTGTGCTGATCCCCTGCCCCACGTGACCCACGCCCTGGCACCTTTCTCAGAAGATGCCCCTTCGTTCAGGATCTGGATAGCGCGCCGGATGTCCAGGTTGAACAAGGCCACGGCGGCGGCTCGCTCCCATTCCCCCTCCTGCACGAGGGAGTTGAGGAAGGGTCCCACGTCCACATCCGTCCCCTTGCTGATCCAGCCACAGAGCTGTAAGGCCAAGATTCTCTCCTCGCTCAGACTCGGGCCCTCGCTCGGCTTCTCGGATGCCCCACTCCAGCTGTGTCTGCTGCCGCCCTCCGCCATGCCTAGGAGAGGACGGGCGCCGCTGTCAGGGTGCGCCTGGCGGGCAGCAGCAACCAGCTGAGAGGGGGGTTATCCGCTAGGTGCGAGCTGGGGGAGGATGTGCTCGAGGAGCTCCTCTGTGAACAGTCAGATGCTGACACATGTTCAAGTAGCTAGGCCAGAAGAGGGAAGCTGTAAGTGCTACCATGGCGATCCCTGCCAGGCCAGACCAAGGTGAAGAGCAAGGTGAGATCGGGAGCCGCCCACAGCAGACACGTGGCCTCTTCGAGAGGCATAACGAACACTTTTACGCAACTTAAAACCCTCTGAGGCTGCACTTGTCAGCCTCGTTCTGAAGGGTGGGCCCTCTTTATTAGAGGTTTGGAACCCTGGGCAGCCCTGTCATTAGGAGGGTGGGGAACGGTCTGCATGAGGCTGCCTGGACCTCTGATGACAGCCACCACCTGCTGTCAGAGGGCGAGGTTCCAGCACCCTAAGAGCCTGGGCCTTCAGGGGGCCTCACAGGGAGCCCAGCCCCTTCTGGGGTGAAGTCATATGGGCATGGGGGGAGAGGAGTGCTGGTGGAAAATAAGACAAACTTGTTATTTCATGAAGTAAAAAAATAAACAAACAAGCCAGCTAGGAAGCTTCCTCCACCCCTGGGGGCCCGGCGAAGTGAGGACACCTGGTCAGGGTCACACGGTCATCGTGTGTCAGGACTCCCTGATTCTCCGTGCACTGACACACTGCCTCTCTTCATAAAGGCTAAATCTTAAGTTAGGAAGAAATGAAAGGCCTCATTCTTTTCTTAATACCAAAGGAAAATGATTTTAAAATTCTCACGTGGAAAACCACTGTTTTATACTCCACCCAGATAGCCAACGGGGTGAAGGCCTGGAAGGGAGGAGGGGGCGGGCCCTCGGGGGCTCTCTCAGCAAGGCTGGTCACCAAGGAGCTCATCCAGCTCAGAATCGGGAGCGCTGACTTCAGCCCACAAGGAGGGAGCGGGGTGACCCGCCAGCCAGCCAGCCACCCCTCCACCCCCCAAAAAAAGCTATTTTGGAAGAAATCCTAGCCAAATTTTTAACTCAGCATCATTTACTAAAACAGCTCAATCAACATCCCCAACGTTACCCAACATCTAAAGAACACTCCAAGATGATTAAATAAGTTTATAAGAGAAAGGGCCGTCCTTACCCAGAGATGATTTCACGATGGTTTTAATGCCTGCATAAACCAGTGAGCCTTTGTGGCCTGGAGCCTTTGGGTCCAAATCTTCCGTATACTGCTTCATAAGTATTGAAATGCATAGGAAATACTAAAGCTGGCTTGGGAGAAGCTTCCTTTAGAAGGACGGCCAATCAAGACAGAACTAGTGTCAGGGCGACAGCCACGCTAAGGCCTCGTCAAGACCCTCTCCCTCCCGCACACTAAAAGCAGCACTCCTCGAAGGCGGCAGGCGAGGCCCCCGCCCGCCAGACGCCAACGGCCAGTCTCGGCTGGCGCTCACTTCAAAGGATATAGTAGAGCGTGTACCAGAGAGACTTCAGCTGAGGGTCCTCGTTTCCAGCCAGCACGTGGTTTCTCCAGACCTGCTCGGTATCGAGGCCGTAGCGGGACAAAGCGCGGAGGCGCATCCTGGTGGCGATGTCCTTTTCTAAGGAAGGATCACGCCCCTCCTCGGTGCACTCGTAGAGGTGACGGCCACAGGCCCACATCAAGGAGGTGACCGGACTCCAGGCGAGGGAGATCCGTTCAAACACGGTGAAGTCAGACAGGACCCGGTTGGGCGTCACCACAATCATCCGGTTCTGGCTGGTGGGGTGCCAGGCGAAGGAGGCGATGTAATTGTCGCAGGGCTGCACGCTGCGCTCGATGATGGTGGGCTCGGTCTCGTCGCCAATGGGCGTGGGCGTGTGCTGCATGTCATACAGCCGGATGATGTCGCTGTCCCTGGTGAGCGTGGCCAGCAGCCCCGTCCTCGTGGGGCACCAGGCCACTTTGGTGAGAGGCTTGGGCTGCTCCGTCAGGGTCAGGACGGGCTTCTCAAATTTCCGAAGGTCCCAGATGGCCACCTGGCCTTCGTAGAAAGAAGCCACGCGGTCGTGGAAGTGGGGGTCCACCATCACTCCCTGGACGGCTTTGGTGTTCACAAACATCTTCTGGCTCGTGTTGCGAAGGTCGAATATGGCCAGGTTCCTGTGCATGCCGGCCAGCAGCAGCTTCTGGTCTCGAGGCAGCCAGCAGAGAGACAGACAAGCGTCATTCTGCCCCAGCTCGTAGAGGGGCTTCGTCACCACCAGCCCTGCCTCCGGGTCTCCGGCTGACAGTCTGACTTTCTCCAAAGGAACCGTGGCTTCCGGGCTGTACTTGCTACAGATGTCCCAGATGAGCACGGAGAAGTCGGCGCGATGCTTATCCAGGCCAGCGGCCAGCCAGTTGCTGTCCAGGGGGTTCCAGGCCAGGGTGTTGCACTGCCGCGCGTGTTTGGGGACAAACTCCTTCCCGATCAAATCCTTGAACTTGGAGTTGGGGTCCTGGCCCAGGCTGGTGAGGACCACGCGGCCGTTGGCCTGGCCCACGGCCAGCAGACACTCGGGGTCGTAGCTCAGGTACCAGGCCACGCACTTCATGTAGGGGGTGTCCGAGTTGATGGACAGCAAGGTGGCCGCGGTGTCCTCCGACAGCCGCAAGGAGCCCGCCTTGAGCTCCGAGCTGCCGGCCGGCTCCACCTGGTACAGGCTCAGCTCCGAGTCGCACACCACGAACCTGTCCACCTGGTGAGGGGCCCACAGGATGTCCGGCTTGGAGCCGCTCATGCTGGCTGGCCTCCCGGCGGGGTCCTGCTGGAAGCCTGGGCACAAGGCAAGCGGGCGGTCAGAGTGGCCCCCCGCACACAAGCCGCTCAAAGACCCCGGCCCCGGCTCCAGGGAACCCCCCCGGGCGCAGGCACACAGCAGGCGCTCCCCAGGTGCTGGCTCCGGGCCTAGCCCCCTCCCCAGCGGAGCATTTCCCCAAGTTCAAAGCCCAGGGGCACGGCATCGGGGCCCGAGAAAACCAGGGGTCTGGCGGCGGGAGACGAGGAGCCCGGGCTGGGGGGGCCGCGCTCCCCTCTCCCCGCCCCCCCCCCCGCCGGATCCAGAAGGCTCTCCGGGTCCCCATCGGAGCAGCCAGCCCGACCCCGGAGCTCCGCCGTCAGCCCGGACTCACCTGACGCGGGGGTTCCGACGCCGCTCCGCAGCCCGGAAGCCTCTCTAGTCCCGGCCACCTCGGCGGGGCTTCTGCGCACGCGCACGGCCCACTACGGAAGCCGAGTGGGCCCGAGCAGGTCATCGGGCATGCGCGCCCGCCCTGCACCGCCCCTCTGCGCATGCCCACTTCCCACTTCCCTGCCCGGCGCTCGAGAATTGGGGCAGAGCCGGGACCTGCGTCGGCCCTACCTGCGCCAGACCCCGCCCCCAGATCAGCCCGGCGCTCCCTTGGCTCCGGGCCCCGCCCACGGCCCCGCCCCCATACCGGCCCCGCCCCCATACCGGCCCCGCGCGCTCCTACTGGTGCAGAGGGTGGGGGTGGGGAATGACGTGACCCCGTGCCCGCGGAAGGTCGGGACGCACCGCGCTGCTGTCAAACCTGTTTGGGTCCCAGCCTTTGGGCGGCGCGCCCCGGCCCGCCCCGCCGCTGCCTCAGTTGGCCGCTCTGCGGGGCCCCGCCCCCACCGGGCGCCCCATGCGCCCCGAGCGCGGGTCCTTCACGCCCCGCCTCCCGCTGCTGCCCGCGCTTGAGCCGATTGCTCCGAGCCCTGGGGGCGGGGGGCCTCCAGCCGGTGACCACCAGGTGGTGCCCAATCCATTCCCGAGGTCCGGCCAAGCCCTGCCCGGGGGCGATCGGGGGGCGTGGTCAGCAAGGCTCTTGGCCCTCGGCGGGGTGCCCAGCCCCGCCAGCCTGAGCTCATGGTCCGGGGCAGAGAAGGGCGAGGCCCGGGGTGGCGGGGCCAGGGCTGCGGGGCTTTGCCCGGGCCGTCCCCTCCTCCGTATGCCCGGTGTGGGCGGCGCCCGGCCAGGGCGCGGTGGCCGGTGCGGGGGCCAGCCTTCAGCCCCTCCCCCCCGGAGCGCTTCCAGCCTGGGCTCCGAGGGGGCCTGAGGAGGGAAGGGAGCGGGACTTCCACCGGCCGGGTGCCCGGGCCTTTCCCTGGAGGCTTCCCTTCTTCTGGCCCCGGGGAGGGGCCCTGATCCTCGCTGCCCCTTTCCTCCCCCAGATGCGCGCGCCTCCGACTGGAGCAGCCTCCCACTGGGCCTCCCTGCCTCGGGTCTCTCCCCTCCCTCTTCCCAGCCCACCCTGGGCTGGCTTGGTGACAGGTGCGCTCCCTCTTCGCTCCTGCCTCAGTTTCCCTCCAAGACCCGAGTCAGATCACGGGAGAGGCTTCCCGGTGTCCCCCATGCCTTCCCCCTGAGGCTGAGACTACCTTCTCCTTGCTCGTATCCATGCCTACGGACCTCCGACTCCTCCATAATAACGGCATTCCTGACGGGAGGGGACTGGATCCTCTGTGCTTAGCAGAGGGAGCTTTTGGGGGTTTTTTGTTGGTTTTTTCACTTTCTAATATTTTTATTATCCAACTTAAGGAAACTGGGGATGAGAATGCGTAAGGTGGGTATAGACAGGAGACGGAGTAAAGACTCAAATTCAATAAATAAGAGTTACCAGACTTCAGGGCCCAGCCCCCCACCAGGGGAGGGGAGGTGACAGCAGGGGCTGTGACGTGCACAGCACCCACATAAATAGACAGGACGGATGGGCGCCAGACAGTGCCAGCACCACCCATGCTTCTCTCCTGGGAGCAAACAGAGACAACGCAGCAGAGCAGAGTGGACGGAGAGAAAGCGAGTCAGGGGCCCAGGGAAAGTGGACAAGGTGTAGCCGAGGGGTGTCATAGCACCTGGAGCCCACATCTTCCCTTACTTTGCACTGGCCAGGGCTTTGAGCCATGGGGATTCTAAAGCACTTTTTTTTAGGGGACGGGAGGAGAAAACGGTACATGGTAGGACAGAGGCCCCCAGACTACAGTTGACAACACAGAACAAGTTTGATTTTTAAATTTAAAAACAGCCATTCGCCCCTGGGGGGTGGGCTGGAGGGGGCTGCTTGACGTGCATTAAGGCACCCTCCTTCCTCCTGCAGAAGCAAGGCCCTGGCTTGGGATGGTGGGGGGTAAGGGGAAGAGCAGCTAGCTGGGGAATCTAATAAAGCTATTGATCCAGCTTGAGGGGAAGGAAGGGGAGGGAGCTGAGATATACCCCAAACTGCCCCCTGCCCCCAAGCAGACAGAAGCAAGCCTCTGCCTGCTCCGCTGGGGTGGGGGGGGGGGAATTGTGGGTCCTACTGGGAACGATGGGGGGTCCCCTTCCCAAGGAAATGCAGGGGAAACCTCTCAAGCATCACCTCAAGTCACATTTTTTTCCTTTCCAGATATGGGTGGGGGATTGTGGCTCAGTGAGCAGAGCACGGGTTGGTTAACGGGAGCTCAGAGGTAAAATGTCTGACAAGGACATAGAGCAAGTTAGGTTCAGAATGTCAGAGCTTTTTAAAAACCACTGAGTCCCCTTCATTTTGCAGGAGTAAACAGGCCCACACAAATTAAGGGAGGCAAAGCCAGACCCAGGACCCAGGTCTCCTGAGATTCGCTTCCTGCTCCGTGGCTGTCTCCCCTCCCAGCAGCCTCACGAACTAAATTAGACTTGGACAGGAAGCCACATGGCCAGGGGTGGTCATGGGATCAGAGACTCAGAACTGGAAGAAACCTCTCATTTTATAGGCACAGAGAGGTAAAGGGGCAGAGCTTGGGATCTGAGCCCAAATGCTAAGTCTCTTCCCCTCAGATCTCCCATCTAAACCCCATGGACAAGCCCCATCTCGGAGAGTGAGACCCAGTGCTAGGGAGTGGGGGGATGGGGGAGGGAAGAGGAGGTGTGCTGGGTAAGACCTCCTTCCCAATGACTGCAGGGCAATGGAAAGGGCCTTTGGCCTGGGAGTCAGGAGTCCCAAGTTCTGCTCCTCTCTCTGGCCAACTCACTGTGACCTCTGGAAGGTTTCTTCTCTCTGGGCCCGTCTTTTCACTTACCCAGTGACTGGACATTCTGTGACAGTAGACCCCCACTATTCATTCTTCCCCCAGTATTCCCTGACTGCCACTTTCCCTGCCCAGGAGTGATAAGATAAAGAATAGGGGCGATGAAGAGGAAGCTGAGTCCTTCGCTTTTCCTGGAAACCCCTGCATGGGGCTGGATGGATGGATAGATGGGTGTGTCCTGTCCATGGGTCAGCAGGGAAGGGACCCTTACTTGGGGGCTAAATGTTCCGTCTGTGAAGCATCGGGGAGGAAATCCCCTCTTGGGTGTGGATTAAGCCATCTTTGAGGACCCAGGAAGCTGGGTTGGGTGTCCTCTCCAGAGCAAGGGAAAGACCAGATGACCAGGGAGGGGCTTGCTGCTAGCATGGAGAAGAGGCTGGGGTGGGAGGGGGCGGGGAGACAGGGCAGCCCACTCCTCATCAAGTATGGGCCTATCCCTCCCTCCCTTCCCTGGACAAGATCATCTTTTCCTTTAGATGAAGCTGCCTGCGGTAGCTCAGGCTGAAGTGAGCTCTCTCCCCTGCTGCTGCCCACTTCCCAGAGCTCACTGGGGTTGCCCAGGGTACAGGGGCCTGGAGGACAGCCCCCCAGGGCTTCAGGTTGCTGCCAACTAGCAGGCTCCAACGTCTCACAGGGCCCTGGGCCTGAGCGGATCATAAGGGCACCTTCAGATGACCAAGCTGGATTCACTCAGCCTGTCCACTGTCCAGATTTTCCTCTGATTTGCTCTCTGTTGGCCCAGATGCTGGGGTTTTCAGCCATTTGGGTCGCCCTCCCCCACTGCCCAGAATGGCCCGGTTCTCAGGGGGACGTCCAGGCGGAGGAGCTTCAGCTGAGACACCCTCCTCACTGGTTTCTGAGATGGTTTTCACCTCTGGAGGTGGCGGGCTCAGCGGCTGCTCAGGGATTCGGGCCACACGGAACCTGCCCACAGAGAGGATGGTGATCTCCCCGGGCGGCTCCCCTTGGGAGTGGGCTTGTTGCCGCCACTGCTGGGTGTGGGAGTGAGGCCTCGGCAGCCCCAGGGGACAGCAGGACCTCGGGCCACTTCCTCTGGCTGCAGCGTGAGGCAGCAGGACCCAAAGGACCCAGAGCAGGAGGCCAGGCCTTGCACTGTGTGCAGGTGGTGCTGGTGCTGGCAGATGTGCGGTATGGGTGCCGGGCCTTGGGTCAGCTTGGGCAAAGGTCTGTAACTGGTCTGCACAAGCCGTTTGCTGTGGTATTCTTTCAGCAGCTCCTCCAGGGCAGCCACATTCTCTTTGTTCTCTGTGATCAGCCGGACTAAGACGCCAGTGGTGTCCTTGTTGGGGTCATCCATCCGGTAGGCAGGGTTGGGCCCATTCTTGCCCTCAAGCCCAGCCTCTTCACTGCTGTCCTTGTGGGCCGTGCTGTGATAGCCTTTCTTCTTGAGAAGGCTGCAGAGCAGAATCCCCGGCAGGCCCATGAGGCAGATGTGGCGATGACGGCGTACTGGGCCGCGGCTTCCTCAGGCACCTCAGCCTGGGTGCCATCCTCTGAGGAGGCACCTTGGACCCTACCCTGGCCTCCACATTATGGCACGGCCAGCTGCCACGCCCCAGGCTGGGCTCCTCACAGCCAGGTGTGCCAATGGGTGCCCAAGAGCAAGGCCAGCACACAAACCTTAGGGGCCTTCTGGGGTAATGAAGCCCTGAAATGCAGCCACCACACTGAGCATCGCTGGTTGTGGTCCCCACCTGGACCTCGACCCTCCTCAGATGGAAACAGCCAGTGTGGGGTATGCAGGGGCTTCGTCCCTGGCTGGTTGAAAAGGTGCCCGGCCTGCAGGCAAGGCACACAGGACCCAGTCCCAGTCTGGAGCCACATTCAGTGAGGAAGCAGGTAAGGGACCAGTACGGTCTCAGCCACTTCATCCCCAGAATACCCTGGGGCTGGGCCAGCTGACCTGGCCACCCGGGCTGCGGAGCGAGGCTCCAGCTCCCTTCACCCGTCCTCGGACCCAGGGCGCATCTATCGACGAGAGCCCCCCTATTCTGCTCCGTGCCGGGGGCTCCTCCAAAGGGAGTTTTAATGAATGCTTCTTGTCTAAGTGACTGATGTTACCTTTTGCTCAAAAACGGTCCTGACTCCCTATTATTGAAATAGGAGCTCCTGGG